TTTGAGGAATTAAAATTTAGAATTAAATGGTAGCCAGTATTTGAAATAATTAAGTTGCACATCGTAACATAGAGAAATTTAAAAAGTCAAGAGCCTAAAATTAGTTCTTGAAATTTGTAATTTCAGTTATTCGGTTGAGTGTATTGTCCACGTATTCGTATGAAAGATTCGTAGGCAGTATCATAAATGGCACGTTGAACTTTGAATTCATGGGTGGTTGAGTGGTGTGATGGCCGATTGGCTAGCTCTGGCCATTGGTACCACAGGATTCAGGCTCGAATCCTGGCCATGGCATGGATATTTGTGACTGGTTCGAATCCACATTAAACAGTAGGCCCCCGATCTATTTAGTCCTTGTTTGCGCAGCATGACCTTTGAGCGACAAACCAAATTATTATTATTTTTTAAAAATTTTTGGCAAAAAGATCAAAATCATGGATTCTTAGTGTAGATTCTCAATAACTAATGTTTGTAGTGGTTCGGAATCCACTTTAAGCCGTAGGTTCCAGTCTCATATGACTGTAAGAGCGTCACGGAGCAAAAGTCAGACTTCTACCTACGGATGCTCCATCACAACTGAAGCTGCCCCTTTCCTCCATCCATGAGTAGATCACACTCATGGGATGTCCGTCCCGCACTGCAGGACATTGAGGATTAGTCACAACAACATATTTGTAAAAATTGTATTAGCATCCAGTGTCATCCACTACAAGTTAAAAAAAAATGCATTTGAACTTGAGTGGATGAATAAAAGTATTTTATGAACGATTAAAAATTTGAGCAAGATATATATAGGGTGAGTGTGAGCTAATAGAAGGAATTGAATGATAAATAAATAACCATACATTAATAATGAGAAAAGAAGTTCGCTTTCGAGTGGAGCCTGCGCACTTTTCCCCAGCCATTACTGTCCAGATGGCTTTAACTGAGATGCGATCTTTTGATCGCAGTGGCACGCTCGAGCGTTTGACCCGCGTTAGCGTTGCGTGTCGGAAGGGGGACCCCAAACAGTTGTCCTAAAAAAAAAAAGGCCCGTGGTAAAGTGAGTTATGGCTGTTAGAGCCCCAGGGTCAACCGAGAGGCGTCCCCGACCCACTACTCGGCCCTCGCTCTGGAACAAACGCAGAAATAGAGTTACGGTTTCGATTACGCGCCACTTTTTTTCCCTCTCCGTCTTCATTATCTCGCCGTTCCAACAAGTAGCGCAGAAGAAATAAACAGTTTGGTCTCTCTGGATGGGCTGCTTTCTTTTTTTTTTCTGGGGTACTTCCGTTTATTCTCTATTTTTTTTTTTTTTTTTTTTTTTCGCGTTATGAACACTGTTCTTTTTCGTTTCGTTAAAATAGGTCGAAAAGAATTATTATTTTTTTAATTTGTTAATGTGGAGGGGATTGTCTGATAACTTGCAATTTTGATAAGAAGGCATTTGAAGAAAAGTTCAGATATTTAGCCGGTATTGCGTTTCATGTACGATTACAGTAATGACTGTGAATTATAGGATGAAAGGATTTTGTGGCATACAATACGTACTCATAAAATAAAAACTTCTTTCTGTGTTTCTAAAACTTTTTTTTGTGTGTATTTATTGATTTATCATTTTTTTTAAGTGGTTTGCCTTATTATGTATTCATATAATTTTTTTTAAATATAAAATTTTTGAAAATATTTCCGTCTTAGTGAAAAATTAAAATGTTGTTGTTCTAGTGCAGCTGGCAATACAGAGACAGATAATCTTCATGCCGTAAGCAAGCGTTGCACCACTGTTACTCATTGAGCACTACCCATAAGGCACGTGTAGCTTGAAGATAGGCTACGGACACGGAGTTACAATGCCTCCGCCACGCTCTACGATCATGTTAGACCGGGACCTACGGTTTAAAGTGAATTATTTAAAAACAATAAAAATTTATTTCACTTTGTCCAAATTCAAACTCGGAGCAGACATCGCCAATACCAGTGCAAAAATGTTTCGAAACTTATTTTCTCTACTCGTAACACTATTTATGGCAACCCTTATCGAAGAGTCGTTAAAACAAGTAAAATATCGGTGAATAATTTTTGTAATTTGTTTAAAATACATAAATTAAGCGCAATCAACACATCTTATGCATTTTTCTTTCTGTCGATCATAAGTATCACAGAAATTAAATAATTTGCGAGACTATATCCACTATATATACTATCGATATACCAGTATGTGAGAGAATCGATAGAACTTTCGAGAAATATCCATATACTATCATGGATAAGAATAAGTTTTAATATATATAAATTTTATTAATTTCATTGAAATTCCACATAAATAACAAAACTGTAAATGGGTTAAGAGGGTTACTTTTTAAATATTGTACTGTATTTAATTGTACCACTTCATTTAAAACTTTATTTTATTTTTTTTAAATTAATAAAAGAAGTTCTTTTTATTAGTAGTTTAGTATAAATTATAAACAACAACATATATATTATATTTATATGCTTTCCTCAAGAAATATTTGACATGATAGGCCCAATATTACCTTAGGCACTTACATTTTTTGATTCTGTACTTAGTTTTAAATACTTAGGATCAGAAATGAATTGTCAAAATAATATCTTACCTGAAATAATAAAATAAAAAATAATAATTGTGTCTGCGAATAAAGCCTTTTGGATTAAGAAATCTGTCTAAATCACAGTTGATAAGCAGATATTAGATTCTTGCAAATTCTTATTCTATACAACCCTTATTAGACCTATTTTGGTCTATGGCTCTGAAACTTTGATAGAATCTGATGAGGCTCATTTAGGTCTGTTTGAGTAGAAGATTTTAAGGGCTATTCTTGGAGGTGTTAGGGAAAGTGATTGTTGGAGAAGGCGGTACAACGCAGAAATATATAAATGAAGACACAGATATTATAAAATTTATTAAGATCAATAGATTAAACTGGACTGCACATCTATTTGGAATGAAGGATTTAAACCTTAAACCCCATTAAAAGGTTTGTTTTAGCAAAGCCACAGGGACAAAAGAGAAAGAGGACGACCCAGGTTGCGATGGATAGACGCAGTTGAAAAGGTTTTTGCTGTACTAGGGGTTAAGAATTGGAGGACCTTGTCACCCAGAGGAAGGCATAGAAATCTCTTCAAAGGAAAGCCTTGGCCTACTCTGGGCTGTCGTGCTATTGATGATGATTATGATATATTTATACATATACTATATATGCATAGATATTTTAAATTTAGAAAATTTATATTGCGATTGATTCTACCATAAAAATTTTTTTTTTTGTTTTTATTTTCTCATTGCAATGTCAAATTCATGACTTAAAAAAAAAAAAAAAAAAAACATTTTTATTTATTGTATATTTCCATGTGTAAGATGTGTCTAGTTCTAATAACGGAATTTGGCTTCTATACGGATCCACTCATCTCACCAAAAAACGTAAATACTTTTCCTTAGCCAGTCGCAAGCTATAAATGTCTAAGCACCGCGTTTTTATTTCTTAAAATTTGGACAAACATTTATTTGCAATGAAATGAGTTGTTTTATTTTTGACAGTGTTTATATTGCGTTATCGGCGTCGTTTGATGTTGGCGAAATGTACGTCCGACTAATGGAAAAGTACCAAAACACGCATCAGACATAATAATAGAACACCATAAATAATTAGCACGTAAAAATAACTGTGAGAAAGGAAAATTATGTTAATCTTTTAACTTGCTTTTCGAGTGTTTTGAATGCAAGAAGAAAATAGTTTGAAGGATTTATACGATTTTTTTGTTTATTTTGCAAAGTCCATGTCAGAATTTTCGTATTGTTCGTCTAATTTCCATTGATTCATTGGTATATCTGGATGCATATCGTCATCATTTTTAATGCTTTCCCTTCTATGTATGCCCTCTTCCTACAGAAAATCGTCCGAGCTGTCATCCGTTCAATTACCGAAACAACCCTTTTTAAAAGTTGGCACTGCCACTTCAGACTGAATCTTCTGATGCGTCTTTTTTACCCATTGCGCAATTGTAACTAAATTTTTTTTTTAAATATAATTTCTGTTTTTTCGTATTTTCTTTATGTTCCATCACTATCCACTCCATCCATTTCATTTTATGCTCACCAATGATAAATTTCGTATTGCCTTCAGAAAACTCTATCCACTTATAAATAGTAATTCTACCATGACCAAGGATAACAAAATTCTTCTGCTATGCTTCGCCCAATCCTCACGTACGCTTGCTCGGTCTGGTCTTATGTAGTTCAATCTAACTTAGAAATGCTAGAAACTTTACAAAATATCACCATCCGCCAAATGAACTCTGCCAAATGGTTCATGAGCAATTTTGATATCTATAAAGCTGTTAAGATTCCTTCTTTAAAAGTTTTTCTGAAGCACATCTCTGTTCAATTTTTTGACACGCTCATGAATCATGAAAACACTGCCATCCAGGAAATGGACTTTTTACATACCCAATTATGATTTAAAACGTCCGTGCAAAATTTTAATTTAATTTTTAAATATTTTCTTTTATGTTAAGTGTTTATGATTGTAAATTAATTTCATTATTTGTAAATAATTTCTGGGCAATTTTCATCGCCTCAACTGTATTTACCCTGTCCTATCAGAGATGGAGCCCCAGGGGCTAAATAGCTCCAAAAGAATACGTCAACCAAGACTACATCTATTTAGATATCGAAGTTTATCCTTAAATGGTTTATTTAAGCAAACATCCAGTGGTTGGAGCATTGATGCCAATCTTCTAGTATGGGAGCCATTTTTTGTTTTCACTTCACGAAACTTGTCTTTCTCTATATCTGTGAAATATGATTTTTTCCCCCTTCACTTGATGTGAGAAGGCGAAGTTTTGAACTGAAGGTTAATTTCTTTTTTTTTTTTTTTTTAAAGAAAAACGCACTTAGTCTGTTTATGCACGAGTCGACTTATGATTGGATATGATATGGTAACTTTATCAAATACCGTTGAAAATTTTAATGTGATAATTTCTCAAGAATTTATAAGCCCAACGGCCATATCATGCTGAATATATCGGTTCTCGTTCGATCGACGAAGTCAAGTATTATGGGGCGTGGGCAGCACTTGAGTGGGTGATCCCTTGGAAACACTAATGGCCATTCAAATCGACTCGTGGCTCACTGGTTCAGGAGGGCCTAGGTTCAAATCTGCTGGCGGCATTGTTTGTAGTCATTGCTTTCAGACTCGAAGATAATCGATGACGATGTGTGTAAAATTGTCTCGTATCGATAGTCAAACCGCCTGCTGGTTGTTTTCTGGGGTTTACAAAATGCAAATTCAGGGCATTTGTCGATAAAAGGTCTTCCCGGAAAGCACTGTCCTCTCATCACCCGACGGTGGGCTGTTCGTGGTTTCATGAAGCCCACCGATGTTTTCTAACCTAACCGTTCTAACTGGTAGGGTGCTACAAAGGTGAATGGTGAAGCGGAAAGAAAGAAAGGGTCTTTATAATCTTTAAAATTAAGTATCCATATTTTATACTCCCTCTGTCCCATAGTAATAGTAGCAGTTGATGCATTTAATTTGTTCTGCAATAATAGTAGCAAAAGAAAATAAACATACTAAGAAGCTTTTATTATCCAAAAAACCAGTTTAAATCAAACAATAAATACAAAAAATAGTTGTCAATTTTTATTCTGAATGTTCAGATAGTTTGTGGATTTTTAATCATTTCGTTACTTCATTTTAAACTTGTAAGTAGGCTGTGAAGCTTTGCTGTTCCTATATGCGTGAGTTTAAAATGTATATGGATTTCCTCTTTTGATGGATTTTCTTTTTTTATTTCTAAATTTGGAATAATGTAGATTTGGGAATTTCAATGGCGTGAATTGCAGATTTTAGGTTGTCTCTTCTACCGTAGATCATAGATAGACCATAGATCTGAGTTTTTATCCATACTATTTGCATTTACGTCCACAGTTTGGTTTTTTTTAAAAGGAACAACATTAGCATAAGATTCACCTTGACAATTATTTTCGGAAGCACGTTTCCAAATTCTTGGTAGGGTTAGTCTGTTGCATTTGAATTGTTTTTGCAGCTAACGTCATTGCACCTTTCTGCAACTTTTCCGTTTTTCTATCGATGCATCCAGAACTGGACAATAGCAACTCGTCTCAATGAGTTGATATTATTCAACTGAATTAAAGCAATTGGTTTCTATTAGCGGAGGAAATAAGAAAAACAGTTAGGTTAATAGGCAAAAATTTGACAGAAACGAAAAACGAAATAACAGATGTCATGAAACATTGAAAACATTTGATGAAAGGCTTCGTTTTTGCGCTGCAACATAACTTGCGGCCTGGTGGCCAATTGGCTAGCGCTCTGGCCTTTGGTATCACAGGCTTCAGGTTCGAATCCTGTCAGTAGCATGGATGTTTGGGGAAGGGTTCGGAATCCATTTTAAACTGTAGGTCTATTAAGTAATGTAGATTATTTAATGAGTAACGCTCGCTTTTAACTCTTTAATTAACGACAGTAGATGTCTGATAAGACAGTTTGGTTATTCATAAGCAAATCAAAATAAACCACTACTTCCATACACCAAATGCAAAGCGAAACTTTCTTTAGATGCAATCCTGGCTTTAAGGTAGGAATGGCTTTAGGTTTTTCCTTTGGACTTAACCATTGTCTCTATAGAGAAACGCTTGCATAAAGTATCCACTTTTCCATTCGCTTATTCATTAAGCGCTTTTCAAAAGGAGTAAATTCAGTATTGCGATTAGTGCTGGGCAAACATTTACTTGTTAGTGACAGTTTTATCGGTTAATTCATGAGTAATCCAAGAATCAGATCAAAAAACTGTTCCTATCATTCTAGGTATTCTACTATTATTGTTTTTGCACATTGGAGTGTACTATTTACTTCTCCATTGCTATAGCAGCCTGATAGCCAAGTGGCTAGCGCTTTGACCTTTTCGTGCCACAGGTTTCTTATTCGAAGCCTGGCGGTGACATGGATGCTTGTGAGTGGCTCGGAATCCACTTTAAACTGTAGGTCTCGGTCTGTTTACCCTCGTGTGCACATAATGACCGTAGAGCGACAAACCAAACCAAGCAAACATAACTTACAGCTGCATTCGCCCATGAATTCCCTTTTAAATAGTCACTTGCTACTTTTATTATGGGACAGAGAGAGTATATTTATTTATTCATTCATTCATTAACATTCCATTTAAATTGTTCATCAACTTTTTGGAGATGAAGGAAGTTATCCCTTGAATCTATTTAAAAAAGAAGATTGTTAGTTCGGCATCGAGTGTTGCAGGTGCGTTGCGTGGGCGGTGCTGGTATGCAAATATCTCATCTCCGGCTTCCGCAGACACAAAAGAAGTTAATGACCTGTTTTTTTTAAAACTGTTTATCTTTCATTAACGCGTTTTGCTCACAGGAAGTGCGTTCGATTCTTTTGATTCCGCTGTTTTCTGTGGGAGGTGTGAAAGAGGTGGCCGCTTAACTGTAAATCATTTCGAAACGGTTCTCATTCATTCATTCACAATAGGTTGGAACATGTGTTTAAATTCGATTTGTAACGGTTGTTTTTAGCAAAATGCTTTCCATTGTAATTATATACGCAGTGAATGTTTTTCTTAAATATAGGGTTGCACGTTTTGTTCCGTGGTTTATCAGCCAAATACAATGGGTCTCAAAGGGTTGCGCCCCAGAAGATTTTCAGCTGCGCCCTGTGCTATTCCAGAGAGATATACAGGGTGATTATAATTAAAGTCCCACTTTTAAAATGCTGTCAAAAAAGAACCACTCGTCACAGTGAGTTCACATTTAAACTGAAGATACCAGAAGAAAGGGAAACGGTACGGCATCCAAAAAGAAAAGTTCCGCCGATTTTTCCCATCCAGTTGTGTATGTCCTTGCCGTGGTGGATGGATTTTCCAGTCACAGTGTCACAACTGTTGAATGACTTGGGAGTCATTTTTTCCGTCAAAAAACCGAAACAATATTGATGGAAAAATGTCTTCCACTGTGAGTGAAAAGCCTATCCACCACGGGAAGGTCACACCAAATTGGATAGGAAAAATTGAATTTTTTTTGGTTGCCGTACCGTTTCCTCCTTTTTCGAGTATCTTCAATTCAAATGTGAACTCATTGGAACGAGTGGTTCTTTTTTGACAGCATTTTAAAAGTGGGAATTTAATTGTAATCACCCTGTATGTCCAGATATAAAATAAACTCTTTCTCTTGTCAGTTTTTCCGTTCGAAGACATCTTTCATTATAAACAACTAATATTTCTATGCCAGGGGTGGCCAACCCAATGATGTTGCCCCACTTTGGAAATGCATCATAACACCGCGGCCGCATCTAAAACTCTATGTTCTCCTATTAGTTTTAAACCCACTATAGACATTTTTTTGAAGTGAAAAATTGAAACAGAATGAGTTATTATTATTGTGTTTACCATTATTCTTGCATGTAAACGTAGATAACATTATTATAATGATACTAAATGCACATTGTAAAGAAATATATAACACTCAAAATGAAATATAAAAAAATATATGAATATAAACGAAATAAAAAAAAAATGAAATCATTAAAAGTATTTATTTTACGAGTGCGATATGTGTTTCTTCACTCACTTAGCTTTTGTAAATCTATCTCAATTAGCACACCGTAATTGCGGTTGCAGGTTAGCGTCCGTTATGTTTGAGCTGTTTTAATGAAAGTTAATTTATCATTTCGCCGGTTGATTTTTGAATAGATGGATGCACAAATAATGTATTTTTTAATACATTGGTTTTCACTACTTTTGTCATTAATATAATATTATAAATGTATTTCGTAAAAGTGTGACACATCTACGGGCCGGAAAATTATTCAAGGCGGGCTGCATGCGGTCCGCGGGTTGGTCACCTCTGTTCTAAAGACTTTTTTTTTTTTTTTTTTTTTTGTATTCTTTTATTCACATAAAAAGTGACAAGCAGCGATCATGCGCCGAAGAATGTTTTCGAGAAACTATTAGCGGCAACTTTCATGGTTGGCTACTAGAAGCGCTGGCATCTATGCGATTTTCGGTGTCAAAATTGTTTACCATTGCAGCCTATCAACCTCGCTGTCTGTGAGTAGTACTAGGTGGGGTTGATCATCTAACGTTAACTGAAGTCGAACTAGTAATTATATCCACTGATCGTGGATTGAGGATTTAACATAAGGAATTGTCTCTTAAAACCTTCTTTAAAAGAAGAATGCGTGTCAAAATCTGCAAAAAGGTTTGAGAATTTTCTATAATTTTTGATGTCCTATTTATGTGAATTAAGATTTTCTACCTTTACCATAATAAAGTATAAAAAAAGAGGAATAATATAATTTTTTATTCATTTATTCATAATTTATTTATTTTTTTATTCATTTACCCTTCCTTTTTTAATTCATTCACACTTTTTAGATTTATTTAGTATCATCATTTCTTATTCGTTTATTTATTCTGATTCATTCATTTATAATCATTTCTTATTCGTTCATTGAACGTGTCTTTGCAGAGCTGCTGGAGGTGCGCGAGGCGAACGAGCACTTCGTGCGCATGCGCTCGGGAGCCCGTTGCAGCGCGCCCCGCTCCGAGGTGGTGTGCGTGAGGGACCTTTACCCCGAGAAGGAGTTCCTGCCCCGCTGCACCTTGCTGCACAGGTGCACCGAGACGTCGGGGTGCTGCGAGGACGACGCCCTGCAGTGCGCCCCGAAAGCCATGCAGGAGGTGGTGCTGCACTTCTACGTGAGTAACATCTTTTCCGTATTGTTTCTTATCTATGCGAGTGACACTCAAACACCAAGCATGCATGTGTGAATTCCGGACTGGCTATACGAGGGTAAGGTGAAAAGGTTTTCGGCCTGACACAGAGATGGCGCCCCAATCAGCAAAAATTTATGTTTCCTGCCTGGGTGCACGTGTCATTAGTTCGTATGACAAGTTTCAACTTGTTCCCTCATTTAGTTTGTTTACACGAATTTTTGCATTAGACGTCTTGCGTGTTTTTCGATAAAATGGATATCGTGCTGTCATAAAATTCTTCGTTTAGGATGGATTAACTCTAAAGAAATTCATCCGAAGTTGACAAAAGTTTACGGGGACTCTGCACCTTCCA